GGCAAGCCTAGGAGACCACACTTCCAGTTCCTGAGTGGTGGGAGCGTAGGTCCTGCCCCCCCAGCCTCTGACCTGAGCTCAAAATGAATGTTAGTCCCTGTGTCCCCATGTTTGTGCTCTCTCATGGGCTTAGTACTGGAATAAGCCCAGTGATGCTTCTGGCCCTGCCCAGCCTCCCCCCACGCACAGCAGAGGCCCAGGAGCCCCATTTCAGCTCAGTCTTCGGTCCTCAGCACCTCCCTGAGCTACATTTCAGGAGTGCTGATCTCTGCCTCTTCTGCCCCCAGGATGGACCTCAGACCCGCGCTGTTGGTACCTGTCTCCTGGGCAGGCCCCTCGGGCATGCCTTGTCGTATGTCACCAGCCCAGCTCCTTGCTGCTTCTGATGGGACCCTTGGCCTAGGTTGGGCTGTCAACAGACCACAATACCTGGCTGGTACCAGCAGCTTCTGCAGGAGGAGCTGCTCGTGTTGGGGGCCCACAACCACAGGCAATATGAACACAACCCACTTGAGTCACAGAGAAGGTCACAAAGGCAGTCATTCTGTAACACTGAGCCTCCTGCTTGTTCCTCAAAAACCACCACAAAAATCAGAATCATCTTTATTTGAATGTGTTTACAGATTCTGTTACTTCTACACTCCTTTTTCCCAAAAAACTTTCCAGTTTCAACAGAAAAGATGTTTAAATTACTTTCCAGTTCAGGTTCTCCCAAAACACTGGTTGGCTCGGAGTTGAACAGTATTTCACATTGGTGTGTTCGTAATGTTCATGGAAAAAGGAAGGGGCTATCTTGGACTTTTCAGGAGGCCAAACATCTCCCCCCACAAATGGAGTCTGTTCCTTCTGAAGCAAAGTAACAACTATCAGCTCACATGCACATCAAAACAAAGGTGGCTGCCAGGGGAAATATAAACAATTCCTCCTGGCAAGTTCATTAATTGATGAGTAGCTCCTGTGGAAACAGGTTCTTCTAAGAGGTACTCATGTTAAAATAGGTGGCAAAGTTGGACCTTCGTTAATTTTAAGGAACTACAAGTCCTTCACCTAAAACCTAAAGCATCTCAAAAATATAGCTTCTGTCTTCACCGTAAATGTCCAAAAGACAACCATCAACAAAAAAAAAGTATACCTTGGAAGTGAGGTGACTCCTTCTGTTATGAAAGTATTGAAATACATACGGCTAGAGCTAAGCAGCAGCAAAATTCAGTGCTGGGAGGGCATGCCAGAGGGTCAACCTGGCAAGTAGACTTCAAGGTGCTGACTTCAAATAATGGGCTCAGCAGCAGTATTTTCCTCTAAATATGTAAACAGGCACTATGTTTTTCCTTCAAGAAACTGTTAGTGAAATCAGGAAAACCGGTGGCAGAAAGGTCACTTTCCAGGAAAACAAACATCTGAAAATACAGTCACAGCTCAGCATCATTTTCTGTGTTGAGACCTAAACCTGAAAAAGACTGAGTCTTGGATGAACTACTTCCTGGAAAATTGAGGCCTATTTTTAGTACTGAGCACTGCATATAGGATTTTCCTTTCTGTGTATGTTGTTTCTGTGATATTTCTTCTCTATTCAGCTTTCTCCAAGGTGTTTTGTGGAGCACTAGTGATTCAGGTGGTATAACCAGATAAATAACTGAATTATTATCTTTATGAAGCAGAGATCTCTTTGTAATAAATGTACCTTGTAGTTTGATTTACAGCAAAATCCTCCTCCTCTTACTTCCCTGATGAGACCTACCTAAGTCAGTGAGACTAGTCATGATGATAAGATAATTAAGTTTTTAGTACAACTCTGGTTAGTGAGCAGAATGCAGTTCTGAAATAATGACTCTACTAGCTCCAGTCTGATACTCAAAAGGTGTTGATGACTTTGGTATTATTCTTAACATGTCCTGAGAAAAGTAATTTTTACGTTAAAGCTGTAAACACCACACAGGACACAATTTAAATCACTTTTTAAATTGAAGAATTGTTTGCAGAATGGCAAAGCTGCAGTTCAGCCAGCATAGCAGTGACACTTGCAAACTGACAGTCAAACTCCCCTACATTAAAAAGGAAAGATTTGCATGACTGTGTTTTAAAATGACAGGAGACAGGAATGGGAGTTTCTAAGCAAGTTAGACTAAAATTTTAAGAGTGAGGTGCCTAAAAATAGGCCTCTGAATGCATAGTTAGGCACTTACATAGAGGCTTCTTGATTTTCAGTTGTTCTGATCACCCAGAGCTCCCATTAACTTCAGGAGCAACTGTGGATACTCAGCTGTTCTAGAAATCAAGCCACCTTTCTTCGAGGGTCTAAATATGGATGTCTGTGCCCAAGTTTGGGGCGGGGGGAAAAAATGGTTTTTCCCACAGAGATATTTTATAAAGGAAAGTAACAGACAAGTTTCATTTTCTCAGTTTACAATGCTTAAAATTGAATCAACATAACAATTAATAGTACAACAATAGTATCTGGGGCAAAAAGTTTTGTCTGAGGTGAACGGAAAGCTACTCCAAAATTCTGTATCTCTTAATTAGTAATTTGAAACATTCCATAGATATTTCATATTCTGTAACTGCAAAGTATTACCAGACCACCTAAATCTTTTTCACAGTATTTCAGTGTTGCCATTAATAAGCTTTTCAGGTTGATCTGAGGAAGAATTTGCAAGATTAACTTTGCAAATCTGTAAGTATTAACTATTTAACTACTTCAGAATTACCATTTTTTCTGCTTCTGGATCAAGTACAACCAGCAGACTTGAGCATATTTTTAAATACTGTAAAATATGAAGAAGAGAGAATTAGGCCTTTAATTCTATCATATGCACTTGGTTGTCAGAAGACTTGTGAATGCTGTTTGCTTGAAGACTTTCTTTGTAAAAGTAATCCTGAGTTGATTTTATGTCTAAGCCATTGCCAGGTCATGCTGAAGTGCATAAGAGCCAGTCACATGGTAGAAAATCTGCAAGAAAAAAGAAAATTTATGATGGAATTATATATGACTATAAATCTGAAAGTGTCAAGGAAGTCACAAATTAAAGGCATGCCAGATGAAGATGATGAATATTTGTTTGTCTGTGTGTGTATGTGCATAAAATATGATGTAATATACCTTTATATACTTGTTTATAGGATCTGAACTAAGGGCTCTTGCTTGGAAAAAAAGAAAAAAAGGAAGATTCTTGTTGCTTTTAACTAAGTTTTCAAAAAGAGCCAGGCAGAAGACAATGCTTTATCTTCACTTTAATCTAATTTTGACTATTTCATTATTATTTTGTGATATTCCAAGCATTCAAAATTGTTTACGCTTTTACAGGGCTCATTTCAAACTATTCTTTTAACTGTACTGTCTTGAGGGTAGGGGAGTATTCTTCCCATTTTCTATGTTTGTCTGGGATTTTTTAAACACCTGGGTTTTTTTATTGAACATAGTGATTGGGACATTTTATCTCACACGGTTTTAGATGGCACAGTACAGCAGAGTTTTGGTAGTGACTGGGGCACACGTGCAATCCCTGGCAGATAAAAGGATGCCACCCGTAAGAAATCAGAGCAAACTGTGTGACACAGCCACTGGCTGTGTTGTACGACTCAGCAACGATGGCAGTGAAAACTAGAAAGCTCAAGCTGCTTTGTCACAACCAGGGACGTGATTTTAGGTCAAGAGTGAAGCAGAGGCAGTCTGGCAATGAAATAAGCCAAAATAATTCTCACTGCAGGAGTGAGCCAGGGGTTTTCAACAGTCATGAATATTCACCTGACATCTCTCAGCTGTTCTGTATTTCTGTTAGTGTTGCATGTATTTCTGACATGCCAGAATTTCAGTTACTAGAAAAGGGAACAGACTGACGTTTTTCCCTCCACAAATCCCCATGTGCTCCCATCAGCAGCAACAGCACAAGGATTCTCAAACTTTATTCTTGGCTAAAGCTAGTGTCACCTCATCTCCTGGGTTTAATGAACATGAAAGTGAAGTTCAGCAGCCCTAATGGTTTAGTAGCTCCTATGACACTATACTGTTCTCATTCATGCTGTATCTTTCAGCGCTGATACTCTGCACCAGTGAGGTAGGTCATAGGTAGACAAGTCAGAACCCTTCTTCCCACTGCACGTTCTGCATTATTTGTCTGCCAGGAAACATGGCGACCTGCCTGCACAAAAACCAAAGCAATCAGAAAAATCAGGCTTTGTAGGAGGCAATTGCTTTTCTTTGCCAGGAAATAATCAATATGTAAAAACTTCTCTATCAGCAGTACCATATGTAAGATGAGACACGACTTTCTACATAGCACAGAAATAAATTGTGAAAAGTTGTAGCACTTTGCAGTGATGCAACGGGTCTATGAGATATTTTAAGGGTCAGCTGAACTGGCATCAGCCAGGAGAGCAGGGGAGTGCACTACCACGCATTTGCAAAAGACTCTGCATATGCACAAACTGAGCCTCTTTGCTCACTGTGTTGCAAACCTGGCCTAGGCAATTGCCAGCTGCTGGAATATCAGAGTCTCAGATGTCTGTAGTAACAAGCCAAATTTGAAGAAATACTGGTCTGGAAGTGAACCTGTTGTTAATAATGAATCAGATATACATTCTATTATTTTTGAAACAGCACTGAAAATAATATTCAGGAAAAAAAAAAGTAAGCCAGCACATTTAGAAAGATTATCTTCTCTCTCCATTAAGCTGAACACAGTTAGCAACTAACCTGTTTCTCAATGTCTCCCAGCAAACTACTGGCACCCAGGCGAAAGAGCTCTGGTGTTAGCCATTCCACTCCCAGTTCCTCCTTCACCAGCATAAGCCAAGTAATAGCTTCTTTTGCCGTCCGAATGCCCCCAGCAGGTTTAAATCCAACCTTTATATAGAAAAACAGAAGTGCAATACACATTTTCATTCATCAGCAACCCTAGAAGAGCAATCAGCATTTCTACCCCTACAGTCTCAAAGTGCCTGTGGTGTATGTAACCACTCTACTCGGAAAGTACCTGACTGCAAACAGCATAAGCTCTGGACTAGAGCTGAGAGCTATCAAGCTTTGGCCAACACTGTGAAAGACAACATTTTCATCCTAAGGGATGGCAACTGAGAGAGTAACACTTCTGACCCCAGGGCATTTTCTCAGTAGCTGGATTTGAGGTCTAATGGGAGTGCTATGTCCATGGCACACATTAGGTCAAAGGATTTTGGCAGGACTTGGCATGTCTGCATATCGCTTACTGCCTATGTCACAATCTAATTCCAAATATATAACAACAAATATAAGTGTGATAACGTAACTAAAGATGCTGAAATAGAGCACGTGAGGTAAAGGGGGACATGTGGAGAGCAGCAAGAGATGGCTGTACTTTATAAAAAGCCTGTGCACCACAGTTATACATGACTGGGCTGTACGTTCAAACCTATCAGAGGCTTAACTTGCATGAAAATTTTCCAAATGGGAATTAAATTAAGTCTGTCTTTACCAAAAATCAAGTCTGGTGCTTCACAGGAACTACAAAACTTCACTCTCAGCATATGCTGGATGTTTTCAGTCACTTGATGGGAGATAAGTGTCATATTTATTCAGGTGAACTGTCATGTATGTAAAGACACACATGCCAAGAAAAACCTGTCTCTAAGGTAAAGCATGTCTTGAATCCCGTGATCAACCTGCTGTGCCAAGCCACATGCATCCATAATGCCAGTCTTTTGGTTACATGCCATTTAAACACACCTCATTCTGAAATAGAGCTTGTAACATGCAGCTGTCAAATCCCTCATCAAAAATTTTGTCACCCGCATTAGCCAAAATGTTGGCCTGAAGCAGCTTACTAAACTCTTGAAACACAAGGAGAATTAGGAAAAAGTATTTCTGCATTAAAATAACCCTGAACAATCTGTACAGTAACACACAGTGATTCTTTCTACATTTCCCTCTGCCATGAACCTTTACCTTGTGTGCTCCTTTCCCTGAGCCTCCTCCTGCAAGAATTATTGTTCCAATTTCTGTTTATAACTTCCTGAAACCTCACTGCATTGAACATTTCTTTCTACCTTATCGATACAACAGTGGGATCAAAAAGTATCTGTTTTTAAATGTGTTTGGTAATTTTTTATAGCAATTTCAGGACAAACAAACACAGAATAAATCCATCTCTCACAATGAAGCACTGTGATAACAGCATATTTTCAATAAGAACACTACCAGAAAAAGCTTGTTAAGTCCAAAACACAAAATCTGTGGTTTTGCGGATGGATGGATGGATGGATGGATGGGTGAGTGCATGCATATAACTCTTAACATTAGTTTTCCAAAAGAAATTTAAACCACAACAACTGGAAAAGCATCTTCTAGACAATAAATTAAAATAGTGGGCATGTGTTCTTCCTCAGGAAGAGAAACTCTAGTGAAATTCAAATTTTGACTTCTTCCTAGAGATACTACAGCTCTTTGAGATAATCTGTGGCAAAACCAAGTAAAATAGAGTTTATAAGAGAATTTAAAATACCATGCAGAATTCCTTCCCCGTTAGCAAATTCTGAAAGTTCTTTTCTCTGCAAAAAAGCTGACAATGACAAGCCTGTCTTTTCCTCCGTTTACCAGCTTTCCAAATGGCACATCTGACTGCCATAAAAACGCAAAAAGGAAGGGGGGTTGGAACTTAATTCAAGAGCAGTACAAAGTCCAGCTACCACTTTCCTGCTGTTTCACAGCATTTCATTATTTTGCTTAATAAGTTCGTCTTCTCAAAAATTTTCTCTTCACCTTATATTATTAAAAGTAATAAGTTTTTCTGGATTGGGGGTTTTCCCAACAGAAAAACCAATTTATGTATGCCCTTCAATAATGACAGGAAAAGATTACTTCCTATTATATTGCACACTTTCCATATCACCACCGCAGCTTATCATTCAATAAATGTTACTCTGCAACTTGTTCCTTTCCTCGAAGAAGTTTAATTTCTGTATTAACCTGTTTTTACCAGTCAACGCCTTGCTAGAAAGCATCCCTACAGCAGCAAAATTAGTTTGTTAAAGAAACCATTTAGAAATCTCTTGTCACTGATAATATTGTCTTCAGTTAATAAAAGCACATAAAGTCAGTTTACATCTAATTCACTGACACACACATGCACACAGACATAAGCACTCATTCTTAATAACATGTTTTATACCAGGAATGTATCCTTTTAAAGCAAAGGTGAATTCAACATTTATATCCAATTATAGGTACAAAGCTGTGTTAATGCAGCAGAGCCCAACCTCTGGCGCATAGCTTGTGTTGACAGTGCCAGTGCCAAGGTGAGTCACTCGGCCCCAGGGATCTGCCTCAGGCTGGCAGGAGTGATGCTCCCGCAGGAGCAAGGGTATCAGAGCTGCTCGAGTTGTTTTGTGGCAGAGAGAGACATGGGGAGGGGCGGGGGGGAGCGGCTGGAGAAGGGGGAGTGAGGATAGCCCAGCGATCCATGCTGGCCTCATCTAGACAATTAGAGAGAGCAGATGGACACATGCTGTCACGTGCTCCCCAAGCTCCAACAGCCCTTGAAGCCATCTCAGCCCCCATCCCACATCCTAACACTGTACTTTGAAAGGGCACCTGCAGAAGTCACAGAAGAGCAAGATGGAGAGGATGGAATGTTGACCCAAAAATAGGGAGAAGATTGGAACCAGAGTTACAGTTTCCTACCCTGAGGCTGCAGGTGAGGATAAAGCCCAATGCAGAACATCAGCATCAGATCTAAACAGCAGCTCCCACTTGCCTGTGGATAAAGGAGGGGAGAGGTGGCTTAAGCCTTCCTGGATAATGTTCTCCTTTCTCACTACTTCAGCACAAGAGGGATGCACAGATAGTTCATCACTGGCTTTGCCATATGCTCCCCCCTGCTCCTTGCATCCGCTGACCCCGCTTGACAGTGACCCAAGAGAGAAATGTTGTGTAGCAGGACATAATGTTCTTTTGGCTATAGTCTTTCACTCCCTCCATCCCAGACAACAGCATCCAACTGGATCTTGTCCCCTTGGAAAGGCCCTCTGGCAAGGGAGGAAAGAGCACAATTTGTCCTTTGAGTTGCCAGAATGAAGTTAGAAAATACAGTTGTGTACACTGGATAGACTTTTGATGGCTATACATTTGTATAGCTCCACTGAGATTTATGGGAGTAGAACAGTCGCTGTCAGCTTGAGATTTGCCTTGTTATCAATGGAGATGACCACTTAAGTACCTTAAAGGGTGAAACAAAAATCAAACCCAAATGCAGCAGGAGATGCATGGAGATTGCAAGAGCTTTTAGGGAATGAAGTGACAGTTACTGAAGGGAAGAAAGCCAAAAGTGCTGTCTTTTCTTTCTTTTTTTTAAAGTATACAGATATTAGAAAAATCAAATGAGGAATACAAGAGAGAAGTCCCATTACCTATTGCTTATATAGCCACAGAAGCTAATATATGTAGATTTATATGTTCTGCATTTTTAAACTATTAGCTTCTTATTTCCTTCTGAATGAGCCTGTCTGGTTAATCTTTACAAAGGTAGCAAGAATTACCTTGTTGCCAGTTTGCCAGTAGAATTCTTTAATGGCTCGCATCATGACTACTCCAACTGGAAAGGTCGCATTTTCCACCTCCTTTCCCGTAGACGTCTTTATAAAATCCGAACCTGAAAGGAAGTAAAAAGCTTTATGGTAGTTTTAGAACAAGAGCCACTCTGCACATACATGCTTTACACCCTCCAAAGATGTCCTCATGCTTCACAGCAATTACAAAGCATTCCTTCACATATACATCCCTGTGTGCCGGTGCCAACCTTGCTTTGGTCAAGGCTAGAGCAGGAGGATGAGACCCATCCAGTTTCAGAGCAAGTCAGACATCCCAACGGCAAAATTAACATCACGGCTATAAATTCTTTGCTCCAGCTACCAGACTAACAATCTCTTCAGGAAAGTCCAATATAATACATGTTCCTGTGTATATATACATTAATAGGAATGTGTCTGATCAACTACAACAATGGAAATTATCTCCTCCGAACAAATTTAGCAAATAAATCAACGTTTTAGTATTTCCACATGGATCTTTCCGAACAGAAACACTTCTCATCATTTTTTTTATTTTTCCTTTGCATCTAGTCTCACATTTGACAGTCTAGTATTGTATCTCTCATAGCTGTTTCAAGTGAAAGAAATCCCACATGTATTTACAAAACCAGCTGTGTAATACTGTAAACAGGGGAAAAACTCCCTTCTTATGCATTTTGCAACTGTAACATTGCAAATTACTACACTTAAATGCACAGTTTGATATAACGCAGTAACAAGGTCAAAACACGTGTTATTTAAAGAAGGAGAGTTAGCCTTGCCATATTTTTTTCTGGTTTCTTACTCTTGAACAATATTCTCCACGGCCTATCCTGAATAGTTGTGTTCTTGTGCATTCTTGCTGTTCTGGGTTGGTTTAAAATGAAAAAGAAGCTAAGAAACTGATAAAAAAAAATATTGCCTTGCAGTGTATGATTCTGCATCGAAACAAAACAATGACAAATTTCCTTAATTGCGTTAGGGCACACTTCATCCTTGGGACCCTACTTCTTAGAAAAGGTGTACCATGAGCTCATTAATTACCAAAAGTAATCGGGGGAAGAAGAGGGATAATTCAAACATCGTGTAGCAGTGCATCATCCACTTAAGTCAATTGGAACCACATCTGCTTCCACTTCAAATTTGGCTTAGGGTCCGTTTTGTCTCTTAATTGAATGATGATGCCTCTACAACATTCCCTAGAGTTAGAGAGGGAAGCTTCACTACTGGCTTGAACTGAAGAGCTGCCTAGACTACATTTTGGCAACCCGTCCCCCTGATGACACAGCTGACCGGTACACAGCCAGGGCTCAGCTCGAGGGGAAGTTAAGATGAAGCCAGGTGTGTTTCTGCGTCCTGTGATTTAAACGCACCCAAACGGTATCACTAATGCTGATCATGTTTTTCTCTCTAGGCTTCCTGCCTAAACACTAACTCGGCCCGTTGGTACCCTCCTACGGCAATTCCCATTCTGAAGAGAAATAATTATTTGCGAAAAAAGTTCTGAGTCTGGAGAAAGTGTGATGTGCAAAAGAGGCAATTAGTAGTTGATTGAGCTTTGCACAGAAAAGAGCACATAGGAGAGACAATTGAGTTACATATTTCAGAGCTGCTGCCTTCCAGAGAGACACTGTGGACATCTGATGGCCACATTAAAACAAGTAACAGTGGAAGTGAAGCTTCAGCATTGCCAAATTATATTTTTAATTTCCTTTTTGAAACATAGCACTTAAAAGTCCTTCAGTACAATATTTTTCATTTTTTTCTAGTATAAGGTAAGTCAAAGCTTTTATAAGTCTTATAATTACAAGTCTCTATGGTACAGTTTCATTAAAAACTTTCATTAAACAACAGCTGCCCTTGTATATGGTCTTCTAATCAATTTGGTCAAACAGAATGACTTCTAATCAGCTGTTGATAAAAATAGAAGATGAAATTTTAATTCTAATAGATTAACCACAAACTCAAGATAGTCTTCAAAATCCATCTAGCTCTATTCTCCAGTGGATTTAACGACTATTCAGCAACTCATTACTAAATAGAACAAGATGAACATTTTCCAGTTCATTAAAGAAATGTACTATGTATTTTTGCATTGTCCTCATGATTCGTTACAGGGAGTCTTAATTACAAGATAATGGATAATGGTTATTAAATGCAGACTCCAGTAATGAAGCTCTATTCATTTGCGAGCCTCAGAGACTGCAAAGAGGGGAAAATAAAATTACTAGCTTCAAAAGATTAACGGATCAAATTATTATTCAATTTTGAAAATCTCATTCAGACTTCATAGAAACAAGAAGAGATTAAAAACTAGTATTAGTACAAAAGTAGTGCATTTATATATTTATTTTTAAATAATATCTTAAGGCTATTACCAGAATAATCAGCTTTAGATGTGATTATTAGACAAACATATAGCCAATTTAGTAGCATCCTCTAACAATGAAAACAATACATTTTTATTTCCTGAACAAATTCTATTTATGACACAAGAACTGGCTAGCAGGATTGCATGCAGCCTCTCGCAGAAGACAGAAGACGCATACTAGAACAGAGCGCCACAATGGAAGGTGCTATTAACATTAAGATTTCAGGAATGAAAAGAGGAATTTAAAACTCAACCACTGCCATAAAAAGCACCTCATTAAGTAGACTTTATGCCAACCTTGTAATAATAGAGGAGTTTCACTGAGTCTATTTCTTATTCAAGTTTTCAAAAACAAGTTTAAAGAATGAAGTTTTGCAGGAGTTTCATCTGGAAATTTAGGTGATGATTTAGAAACTGGGTTTTATCATCCATCTTCTCATCTTCCTACCAACTTATACACTCAGAAAATCAAGGCTAACATTAAAATATATGCTGGAGTAAGTCCACACTTTCTACTCTTTTCCAGTGTGTAACCACAACAGTACACTGTTTCGACACAGTGAGCCACATAAGACTCATTGAATCAGTAAAGAGCAGAGACAATAAAGTCTTTTTGAAACACAGCGGCATCACACACTTGGTTCAGGTGGGCTTGCTGCCAACCTAGTAACTCACCTGTGTGGGTTACCACAGCCTAGAAAGCACAAACTGCACCAGTTTACTTCAACCAGAGATTGGAATGTGAATAAACCGTAAGAAATAGGAAGAGAAATAGAGCCTCTCTGCTTGAGAGGCTCTCTCTGGTCGAGAGCAATCAAGCTCCCCATACTGTTGGGAGTCAGATCACTTGGGCTGCAGCCACATATCTTGTGAAATCAGTAGAGTATTTTAGAAATCAAAATACTCTTCCCTTGTGCTCTCACCTCTCATACACACATGACCCTCAGCCACTGCACTTCAGCCACTACACTCCACCAAAGCCCACACAAAATAAGCCAGCTGAATGTGAACAGGCTAAAAAGAAAATCAGTGTCTTCAAAGCATGTTGCCTGGGTCCATACCTAGAGATCAAGATGAAGTCCATTATATTATTTCTATTCTAGACACTCACACAGCCTTATTTATAGTAGCACCTGAGCAGTGGTATCAAGCTGAGGTACACTGAAGCTGAATGAATTGCCTAAGGCTTCTCAGCAAGCATTTGGCAGGGCAGGGATTGAATGTCCCGGTCTCCCAAAAGCCAGAAGAGCTGCCATGACTGGCCCACCCTACTGTTATCCCCTACATCATCTTGAAACACCCGTCCACGCAACATTGAAGCAGAGCATCAGAGTGGAGAATCTTACTTATATGACAGCATCCAGGAAGCACACTCTGGATCCATAATTAAGCAATAAGGAATAATAAGCAGTATAGTCATCGCGGACTAATCACAACCTTTTGGTTGTGAAGTGCTTCAGATGCCCTTAGGGAATGATTATCTCCTGATAACTACAGACTCTGTGTTGTTGCCTTACTATGGCAGTTTTAAACATTCATTTAGAGAGAGATGCTTGCAGAGGGACAATTATGCCGTGCTACTTTTTAAGTACTTGCAATGAGAGTAGATATATCTTCGTTGCTCCAATAGAGATATAAAAATACGCAGCGGCATAAGGTGAACACATACGCTTCCAGGACTTCTAAGACTGGTGGCAAAAAAAGGCATGCTGCTAAGGGGACCTGCAAAAGCCCCTGCTGTTTTTGCTGACAAGGCAGCAAATTAAAACCAGCATATTATCAAATGTGCATAAAGCCCCATTAGCAAGTCATCTTTCTATTTTATGAGTACCTAAAATAAGGGTTTTGAGATTCACGTACAATTGGCCTGACTAGGGGCAAACAGGTTATCAACCCTCTGAAAATAAGAGGCAGGGCAATAAAAGGCTAATAATGTGGTAGCTGATTCTTGTCAGTTGAGTCATCGTAATTGTCCACTTACATGTCCTTATCCTATTTCAGTGTCAAGATAAAACCCATGCACTAGTTTAACTTTGCTGTTGAAAAGAAGAAGAGAATATGAGGCTGTGACAGGTCACTTTAGCAGTAGCTTACCAAGTAGCTTTAATCACATCCCACATGGCAACACTGCCAGATCACTTGGTTCGGTGCCTGCGCACGTTTTCACACGCCTGTGTCTATGGTACCATTTTGAAGAATGCTTTCTCACAACTCAGGTGTGAGACCTAGGCAGGTCTCACAACTGCCTAATTTTCTGCAACTCTTTTTGGAAAAGTGCCAGCATGGAGGAGAGAAAAAAAAAAATTGCATCACAGGACTGTCTGCTTACGAATAAGACAACATTTTTATGTCCCATCCTATCACCTCAGCTTGGTTTTCAAGACTCAGAATGGATGCTTCCTCTGTTGCACACCTCTTTTGGTAACAGGCATTCTGCAGGCCAAATGATGCCCTTAGGAATACTTACATAGTGACATGAAGGGACAAATTATTAAGTCCATACTTATGCAAAACTCCCTTTAGAGGATGTCTGAAAGAATTCAGCATTGCTGAATTATGCATAGCTCGCTAATGCACTATCACAGTGTCTACCACAGGTCTCCATAGAATACTACTACTTAATTAGTATCAGTTTCTTGTGTGTTCATTTAAAATGTATTTCTTTAGAAGGCTCAACAGAAAGATTCATACCACCTTCTGTTGCTCGGTTATAATGCATGGGCTCTTGCT